GGTTTAGCGGTTTAGGGTTTAGGAGTTTAGGGTTTAGGGGGGTTTAGGGTTTAGGGGTTAAGGGTTTAGGGGTTTAGGGTTTAGGGGTTTACGGTTTAGGGGTTTAGGAGTTTGGGAAAAGTCTAAGAATCACTTACCTAGAACACTAAACCCCCAAAACCCCAAAGCTTCGAAAAGGTCTTCACTGGACGCATGTTGCTTCTTGTTGGCATTGGGGCATCGCTGCAGATGCTGCAGCAGCTGGTCGGGATGCGGCTTGCCTTGTCTTTGCTGTAGAGTAGGGTTTAGGGTCTGGGGGGGTTTAGGGTTTAGGAACAACTCAGTAATCCCTAAACCCTAAACCCTAAACCCTAAACCCTAAATAATAACATTCCATTACAAGTCCCGACATATTTGTATTACGACATACCCCAAACCCTGGCTCTACTGATTCAGGGCCCTCTATTAATGTAGGTTTCCTTACCCCTAAGCCCTAACCTAACTGGGGGATGGCTCTTGTGGCCGGCTTTCATAAACCGTCCCTAAACCCTAGCTGGGGGATGGCTCGTGGTGGGTTCTGTCAGCCCTAGACCCTAAACCCTCAACCCTACACACAAAACCCTAAACCCTAAACCCTAAGGAACTTCTTCATGTATTTCGGCCCGCGGCTCTTCAAGCACATGAACGTGGACGCCAACCTATTTCAGACGAGACTTGGGCTTTTGGGCTTTAGGGCTTTAGGGGTTTAGGGGCTTGGGGGTTTAGGGGCTTAAGGTTTAAGGTTCAGGGTTTAGGGTTTAGGGGCTTGGGGGTTCAGGGTTTAGGCGTTAGGGCATTAGGGGTAAGGGCGTTAAGGTTCTGTGTGCTTAGTTCTTGTTGTTCTTACAAAGGAGCTATCGCAAAGGCCTCTCGGAACCAAGCACCGGGCAGGCTGAGGCTCATTGGCAGGGGCTTTAGAACTCCCTGGCGAGCAGGAAGGGAGTGGCTCAACCAATGTAGGAGCCTCAGGAAGAAACCGTAGTCGCATAATGCAAAATATCAGGATGCATAATGGAGGGGCCTTAATAATTTGAATTGGGTTTGAGGGTAGATTATGCTGTTATTATACTAAAGAACACCCAAAAATTCTATTCTAATTATTAAGTCCCCTATAGTACCAAGAACCCCGAAAGCTCCCCAGGGTTTCTGAATCAAGTTCCTACATTACCTTGGCTTTGTTCATGCTCCTGCGGATCCTTGCACGGAGTGGGGGCTCCTCCGCTGGGCTTGCTGCGTCTTTTTCTTGCACTCTCCTCGGACAGCCACTGCTCTTCAGGAACTGCCTGCATTAAATTGGCTCTGTCCCCCACCTATAGTTTCCATTGTAGCCTTTTTTGGTTAACCAAATTTATGTTATAGGGTCCTAACCGTAAAATTGGTTAACCCAAAAAAGGAACTACAATGGAGACTATAGGTGAACCCTAAACCCTAAACCCTAACCCCTAACCCCTAAATCCCTTAACCCCCAAACCCTAAATTCCTAAACCCTAAACCCTTAAATCCCCTAAACCCTAAATCCCTAAACCCCTAAATCCCCTAAATCGCTAAATCCCTAAACCCTAAACCCCTAAACCCCTAAATCCCCTAAACTGGCCCTAAACCCTACACCGGGAGTCCCAGGGTCTCAGAACGTACCGTCGCCTCGCTGCTTTGCAGCCAAGGATTGCCAACGGCACGAACATGATCTTCACACTCCCAGCTCTCTACTTCATTGAGAAGCTCGGCTGAGGGTTGAGGGTTTAGGGTTTAGGCTAACAGCTCTCTACTTCATTGAGAAGCTCGGCTGCGGGTTTAGGGTTTAGGCTAACAGCTCTCTACTTCATTGAGAAGCTCGGCTGAGGGTTTAGGGTTTAGGGTTTAGGTTTTTGTTTTAACAGCTCTCTACTTCATTGAGAAGCTCGGCTGAGGGTTTAGGGTTTAGGGTTTATTTTTTTAGGTTTTTTTGTTTAAAACAGCTCTCTACTTCATTAAGAAGCTCTGCCTCAAAGAGCGGGCCCATTTTAGGGTTTAGGGTTAAGGGGATTTCTTTGTGTCGCCGCATGCCGTCTACCCTACAATGTCCTACAACCTACGAAGCAGAAGGCCAAGCTGTGTGAACTCCATACATGCCAAACCTCGATAACACAGCCCCATAGACCCTGAGCCCTCATGTCATAGAGGCGCCTCAAGAATTAGAATGGGGTTTGGGGGTATACTATACTACAACTATGATATACGAACCCCCCAAACCCTATTCTAGTCTGATCCCTGAGGCCCCTACATTGACTTCATGGTGGCATTCCCTAGTTCCTGGTTTCGTTGACCGTAGAACATGCCTCGCAAAGCCTATTCTAGTGATTAAGGCCCCTATGCTAAACTCCGATACCACCCCAAATAGTAATCCTCACAGAGCCCCTTACCGGAACGCTTCGACGGAGCCTTATTCTAAATATTTCGGACACTTACCCTTTCTAATTTCTAATCCATTCCTTTATCGACGGGCTCGAGGGTCAGTTGTTCAGGAAGACTGGGCGCCGGTCCCTCTTCATCGCCGGAGCTGTCGGAATGGCAACTGGGCCTAGGGTTCCGGGTTCCTTGAAGGGATCTATCAAGGAGGTTTGTAGCGGTTCAGGGTTGAGGGTTTAATGCCGTCAGATTGATCATGAAACCCACAGCCTTAAGCCCTACTTTTTTGTTCTTGAAGCCCTGCTACACTCTGAAAGCCAAGAGCCGTAAAGCTAAATCCTTATACCCGAAGAAGCCCCTAAACCCTAGCCACATCTGAACACCCTAGATCCTAAACCTTAAACCCCCAAGCCCGAATCCCAAAACTCTACACCCAAAGCTCTACACTCTAACTTTAAGGCCTTAACACAAAACCCTAAGCCCAACACTCTACACCTTAACTTTAAGCCCTTAACACAAAACCCTAAACCTAAACTCCCCAAGCCCAAATCCCGAAACTCTACACTCTAACGTCAAGCCCTCAACACAAAACCCTAAACCCTAAACCCCTAAACCCTAAACCCTGAACCTCTAAGCCCTGAGCCCTAAACCCCCAACCTTAAACCCCTAAACCCCTAAACCCTAAACCCTGAACCTCTAAGCCCTGAGCCCTAAACCCCCAACCTTAAACCCTAAACCCCTAGGCGGTGTCCAACTTCGTCCTTGGATTCCTGGGGATGTATGGCACGACAGGCGCACTTTCCTCGGGAGGAAGGGGGCTAAGGGAACTTGGGTTTAGGTGTTTAGGGTTTAG